ATACACATTCCCCCCACCCCCCAAAAACAGGTTACATTTTTTGGATTGTAACTAGATACATTGTTGTTTAGTTGCTATCCGTGTCTGACTCTTTTGTGATCCCATGGACTATGGCCTGCCAGGCTCCTCTGTCCATGGGATTCTTCAGGCAAGAATACTGGAGTGGGCTGCCATTTCCTTCTCTAGGGGATCTTCCCAGCCTAGGTATAGAACCCACCTTCTGCACTGGCAGGCGGATTCTCTACCACTGAGCCACCTGGGAAGCAACTAGATACATGGTGTATATGAATTTCACAACCACGCAGTGAAATCTTATTTAGGTTACTTTTTTGAGGAGGTTTTAAATATTTGGTAAAATATAATTCTTTCAACAGAGTGTACATAAGAGAGATAATTAATATTGCACTGAGATAACAGAAACACATAAGAGCCCAAAGTATGAGGAATGTATGCTGGTTCATTTTATTCATTAATTTCTCATATGCTCTACCACAGGGTTTGTGCTGCTCTAAAGAGTTTTTTGGAACAAAGTATGGCATGTATAAATGAATAAGTAAATGTATATATACCTAAACCTGATTAAAGGAACCAACTAAACTTTCATGAGGCAAAGCATGTTGTGAAAACTACCTGAAAAAAAAAGTATTGCCGCTCAAAGAGTTCTTTACAAATATTTAAAACTGTACATTACAAATAATTATTTGACTTTTCAAATTGTGACTTGCTAGTTTTGTACATCAATATACCTTCCTAAAATACACACACATGTGCCCTTTACCAAATTTGCAATGTGTGCTGCCTGTCTGGCAGATAGGGAAAAACAACACATCTTTATGGCACAGAAGAATGAGCTCACTCTTTCTCGCAGTGATTTTGCTTATTTTAGTGTGGAAGATGTTGTTGTAAATATTTTCATTACTTTTTAGATGGTGAAGTATGACTTTGTCAGAAGATGTATTTTCATTTAAATTTACTTTGTAAGAGTTGTCAACTATTCAGTTTTTGCTATGTGGTAGAAACTCAGATTGTATTTTGGCTAGTTCCTTGGTGAGGCATTATACACAGGTTTCTCATCAAATGCTTACTGTCATTTGTGATAAATAGAATATACCCAAGTACTGCTAGGTCTTCCAGAAATAGAAAGACACTCACATTGTGGCACTATTATACACTCATTATTAAACATCTGTTTAAAAAAAAGCTCTTGAGAAAATGAGCCAAAACACAAATAGATCAAATGTATACAGACCATCTGAAACTGTAGTACAACATGCAAATCACTTAGATCACTCATCCGAGCGGACCCAGATTCTCAGGAAAGCTAGAAAAGATGAACTGTGACCTAAAATTCCCTCAGTCAGGCTCACTGGAAGATGAGACAAGAGAGAGTGTTTTGAAGGCTTCAGTTTATATACATCTAGGAGCAGTTGCCTCTCACTAATTACATCAGTGGAGGTGAGAAAAAGATGACTCAGAAAGAGAGTTGCTGCAGAACTGGTGAAAATCCACACAATACAAGGAGAAAGCTAGCCCTTGGAGATCATAATGGAGGAAGCAGGATAGCTTGAACAAACCTAGGAGAGTTGGGGCATTGCAAATCTTAGAAACAACTTGTACTTATTTAATTTGTTGGTTCAGGGTCAGACTAGAAGCTCCAATTTTATCACCCATTGCATAATAATGGGGAGAAGTGTGCACCCTTTGAGCATGTTCGGCTCCAAACACACCAAACCACACTCATTCATTGTCTCCCCAAACCACTGCTTTCTCTCATTCCATTCCAGGTAGTGCAACCACAATGCCCTCACCAGGAATATCACTTCAGTTCAGTTCAGTCACTCAGTCGTGTCCGACTCCTTGCGACCCCATGAATTGCAGCATGCCAAGCCTCCCTGTCCATCACCAACTCCCAGAGTTTACTCAAACTCATGCCCATCGAGTCGGTGATGCCATCACCAGGAGTATAGCCACTCCCTAATTCTATCTCTAGAGCAGGTACCATCATATTCATTGTTATATTCTATCAGTAGCCTAAAACAAGTACAGAATAAACCATATTAGATAGTATGCTTTTGACTATAAGTAATCTCTAAGCTCAACTCAAGAAAGTGAAATCACTTAGTCGTGTTCGACTCCTTGCGACCTCATGGACTGTAGCCTACCAGGCTCCTCCATCCATGGGATTTTCCAGGCAAGAGTACTGGAGTGGGTTGCCGTTTCCTTCCCCAGGAGATCTTCCCAACCCAGGGTTTGAACTCGGGTCTCCCACATTGTAGGCAGACGCTTTACCATCTGAGCCACCAGGGAAGTCAAACTCAACTCAAGCTGGCACATAAATTAAAATACTCATTATCTCACATATCTAGCAGTCCAGAAGTTGTAAGAGCCTCAAATCTCAGTGATTCTCTGAGCTCTGCTTTTCTCACAGCTGGATACAGCTCTGGTTGGATACACCCATCAGTTGGAAGGATGGCTTCTGGCTTATAAGCCAGGCCAGAAAATGTCCAGAGGAAACAGTGGACCTCTCTTCCAGTGCTCTTTGAGGAATAAGGAAACCTTTCACAGAAGTCTCCCAGGAGCTACCTCCAATGTCTCTATTGCAACAATTGGATTCTGAGCCCATTCATTGACTAGCCACTCACAAGGAGGATGGGGTTATCCTGACTGGTTTAAACAGTTTAGGCTCCACCCTTTGGAAGTGGGAATGGGACCACCTACCTGAGTAACAACAAGTGTGTACTAAACTTAAAACACAAACTCAGATTCTGCTATACAGGTAAAGGAAAATAATGGATAATGAATTGACAACCGATAAAATGATCAGTACATTTGCCTCCACAAAACTGTTGATTGAATAAACGAATAAACAAAAAAGATGTGTTCATTTAATTTTACTATTTTGTGCCTTAGTTGTTCCTAAACAGAGGGTAGGAAATAAATCTAAGAACATTTATTTATGTTCTACAATAATGTAAGAAAAATGCTGGTCACAGATTCAAACCATTGTTAGCAAAACATTACAATTCTAAATATTGATGTTCATTTGTCAATGTTGATGTTTTTCACCAAGATTCTCCATATCATTTCTATACTGGCATAGTAACTTCCTGATAGTAGTTCACCCAGAGTAATCTAGATTGTAAAGTAAACTAATAATCACATTTTTCCATAGGGATTTTGATGAAGTACTATCATAGCTAACATGCCCATTAGAGTTTTAGATGCTGAATAAGACTTTAATTTTTTATGGAGTGTGAATACTCCAACAACTTAGCAACAAGTCAACTACTGATCAACACAAAAATTCACATTGGCTTATTCACTCATCTCATGACCACTTAAAATTTATTTGAATATGATATCTTTTCAGGATTACATGGAATTGTTGTTCAGTTACTAAGTCATGTCTTACTCTTTGTGACCCCATGGACTGCAGCACTCCAGGCTTCCCTGTCCTTCAATATCTCCCAAAGTTTGCTCAATTTCATGCCCATTGACTTGGTGATGATGCCGTCTAACCATCTGAATAAGTCTATTTTTAAAGAACAAAGTTAAGTGATGGCTATTTGGGAAAGAATATAGTTTGTTAAGCATAAACAACCAAAAACTAGAAGAGAATTTAGCCCTTTTGTTGCACCCTTTCTCCACCAATCCCTCTTCAAAACCAAAGTACAATAGTTGACAGTGTGTATAATCCTTTCCTATGTATATAATGCATCTGTACGTCAACTGTATGAAAATTCAGTGACTGCCTGAAGGTGGGATGGTGTCCACTATAAGAGAGCCAAAAAAAAATATTAAAAATCCCTAATCACACCTCTCCCTTTAGACATACTGCCAACATTTGTACATGTTCTTTCCTTCAAAGCTGAACACTGAACACCACAAGGAACACACATGAAAAACAATGATTAGTCACTTTTGCCATGCTTGATGAGTTCCATCTTTTTCTAATTGGAGGTCACACACTGTGACCCAGGATAATTTTTGGCAGAGTGTTTAAAAGTTTTGAACTTGTATGCCCTTAAGTAGTTTTTGCACTTTCCATTTCACTTGTTAGCTGCCTGGGCCTTGAAGGTATTTGTGCTTGTTCTCCTAGGAATTATTTCAAGCTTATGCAACTTACCCTGGCACTTAATACTAGTAGAACTTTTTTCCATTTTCCACTTAGTTGGTTAAAAAAACAGACAAATTGCAATGTAACATTGAAATACTTCCATAAACATGACTGCCTAAAGATTCGGTGCTGTGAATCTGGACTATTGCTTGACAAGCAGACTACTACTGAAAACTCAAATCATTATTTTTTAATCAGCTGGTGTTTGAAAGTTTAAATTTAGAATGCTAATACTGGATCATCAATTTATAATGAACAAGATACAAGCAGTTGGAAAGTCAAACTTCAGAAAATTGAGAAAGACTGACTAGCTAACTATAGTGATTTGGCTTGAATTTTCGTTCACTCCCACTCCTTGAAGAGAGCTTGGAAGTCCAGTCAGACCCCACTCCAGAGGAGGCAGTGGGAAGTCTCTGCCAACTAGCCCTGGCCTCTGAGAGCAGCTTCAAGGGCCACACTCAGTGACCTTGATGAGCATTCCTGGCAGCTGGTGACACGGTGGCTTAGTTCCTGGCACTTCCTGAAGAAGCTAGATCAGCTTGGGAGGTAATCAGTCCCTCACATGACAGGACAATGTGTGTGAGTTCTGGGGAATGCATGCAGGACCTTTGGAGAAATGTTGATCTAGGGCACACAAAGGGCAGTCTGCCAAGGCGAGGAGATGCTCAGATGTAAGAACGACTGGGATACAAGGTTAGGGGAGATCTGGAGTGGCCAGCAAAGAGGAATCAGAGTTGGAGAAACCTAGCAGAGGGGGCTTTGGAATAATCAAATGGGAGAAAACAATAAACTCTGAGAAATGGGAGAAAACAATAAACTGAATAAGAACTTTGCTTTTCCTTGGCCTTTCCACTGCCTCCACACTTCTCCATTCCATACTCACTTGAGAAGGCTGGGGCAGAGGCGCCAGGCAAGAAAACAAGCAACCACATCCCCTTGCTAATGAAGAAGGCAGATGGCCATCCACAGTCAGCCCTAGCTGAATAAGAGAGGAGAGATGGGGGATGTCTCGTTTATGAATTAATATATTCATCTCCACATTCTCATTTCCGAACTGAGACTATGACTATGGCTTAAAATGGACTGAAAGTTCCTGAACTACAAAAAAGAGAGAGGAAAAAAGTCATGAGACTGCACAGGTTTTCTTCCAGGAAACTGGGAAGCAGCAGCTTACACTGAACAGTTTTGAAAGAACATGGGAGGAAAAAGTAAAACTCTCATCTGACAGTGTCTCACAAATCGACCTATTCAATATGCACGTGTGCAAAGTCGCCTCAATTGTTTCTGGCTGTTTGCGACCCTGTGGACTGTAGCCCACCAGGCTCCTCTGCCCATGAGGATTCCCCAGCCAAGAGCACTGGAGTGGTAGCCATGCCCTCCTCCAGGGGATCTTCCCAACCCAGGGATCAAACCCACGTTTCTGAAGTCTTCAGCGTTGGCAGGCAGATTCTTTACCACTAGTGCTATACCACTTTGTACATACATATAGTTTCTTACCTACATTAAAATTAGAAGTATAAAATATTAATACTTTTAATGATCAGTTCTATTAAAAACATGAAATTAAGATTGTAGTTTAATCATAGAGCCACATAAAGATCAAATATCATACTACCTTGTTATGATGTAGCCATAAGTATTTTAATTTCTTAAACCTGGAAAGATCAATGACCTCTGTCAGCTCCCTAGAAAGGAAAAGAGAAAGTGAGTGCTAGCAACAATTAATTTATTCATGTCTAAAGTTGCTTATATAGTATGACTTGGGGAGAATTGAAAAGGCCTCTTTCTGTCCTTTCAAAATTATTGGCACATTTATACAGGCTAATTTCCTACATTCCACCTTTAAAACTTCATTCTTGGGTTAAGATTTTTGTTAGTCAGTTAAAGCAAATACTAAAAGGAGAGAAATTTATCACATTAGTAGAAGTTATACCTCATTATGACTGAATTTATTGGGACCTTCATTTTAAAAGACTTCACTGAGGAGAGGCCAGAGGAACAAAAGTAAGGGCAGAAGACACCAGACCTAAGGTCAGTGTGGGAAATAGCATTGGCTCCTGCTTCAACACTGCCTACCCGATCTTTAGTTTGAGGTTGTCCAGATCTTGGCCAGACTGGATTTAAGACATGGAAGCTGCAGGACCCAAAGAGGCAGAGAGTGCATGAAGGGTTTTATTCTCCCATTGTTGTTTATCATACGTGTGTGTGCTAAGTCACTTCAGTCATGTTCAACTCTTGTGACCTCATGGACCATAGCCCACCAGGCTTCTCTGTCCATGGGATTCTTTACCACTGAGTCACCAGAGAAGTCCATAATTTTTAATATTTTGCCACATTTATGTTCTCTCTCTTATCTGTATACACAATTTACCTATTAGCTAGTTAATAAGTTTCTTGGTGAATCGTTTGAAAATAAGTTGCAGACATGACTCCAGGGCTTTGATTCATAAATACTTCAGCACACGCATCCCTCAAATAAGGACTTTCTCCTGCTTAACCACCATACCAATATCAAACCTAAGAAAATTAAAATTGAATTCAACAATATCATCTAATACATTGCTATTCATATTCAAATTGTTCCTGTTGTCCCTACATTTCTTTTATAGATTTTTTGCTTGTTTAAACCCAGAATTGCATCAACACTGATGCATTGGTATAACCCATTTTCAGTTGGTATAACCCATTGTTATTTGTTGTTCAGTTGCTCAGTCGTGTCCGACTCTTTGTGACCCCATGGACTGCAGCATGCCAGGCTTCCCTGTGCTTCACTGTCTTCCAGAGTTTGCTCAGATTCATGGCCATTGATTTGGTGATGCCATCCAATTATCTGCTGCCCCCTTTTCCTCCTGTCCTCAGTCTTTCCCAGCATCAGGGTCTTTTCTAATGAGTCAGTTCTTCACATCAGATGGCCAAAGGATTGGAACTTCAGCTTCAGCTTCAGTATCAGTCCTTCCAATGAATATTCAGGATTGATTTCCTTTAGGATTGACTGGTTTGATCTCCTTCCAATGAATATTCAGGGAAGTCCAAGGGACTCTCAAGAGTCTCACAATATGAAGGCATCAATTCTTTGACAGTCAGCCTTCTTTATCATCCAACTCTCACATCCATACATGACTATTGGAAAAACTATAGCTTTCACTATACAGACCTTTTTTGGCAATGCTATCTCTTGCTTTTTAATATGCTGTCTAACTTGGTCATAACTTTTCTTCCACGGAGCAAATGTCGTTTAATTTCATGGCTACAGTCAACATCTGCAGTGATTTTGGAGGCCAAGAAAATAAAATCTGTCACTCTTTCCACTTTTCCCCCATCTATTTGCCATGAAGTGATGGCACCAGATGTCATGATCTTAGTTTTTTAGAATGTTCAGTTTTAGGCCAGATATTTCACACTCCTCTTTCACCCTCACAAGAGGCTCTTTAGTTCCTCTTCACTTACTGCCATTAGAGTGGTATCTTCTGCATATCTGAGGTTGTTGATATTTCTCCCGGCAATCTTGATTCCAGCCTGTGGTTCATTCAGCACAGCAGTTCGCATGATATACTCTGTATAATCCCATTAGTCTTCCTAAATTAAAAATAGTCACCTTCTCTCCTTTATTGCCTTCAATGTTTACTTTCTGAAGAGTCCAGGACAGTTGTCTGATAGAATTTCTCATATTCTTGATTGGTCTCATTGCTTCCTCATGATTAAATTTAAGGCAGATCATTTTTTAGTTACAACAGTGGTAATTACTACACCACGTCAGGAGGCAAAATGATGCCACTTTGTCCCACTCTTTGTGAAGGTTGTGTGTGTATGCTTAGTCACTAAGTTGTGTTCGACACTTTGCAACCCCATGGAGCCCTATAGGCTCCTCTCTCCATGGGAGTCTCCAGGCAAGAACACTGGAATGGGCTGCCATGCCCACCTCCAGGGGATCTTCCTGACCCAGGGATCTCTCTGACCCAGGGATCTCTTACGTCTCCTGCACTGGCATGCAGATTCTTTACCACTGAGCCACCTGTTCACCCTGTTGGTGAAGCTAAGTTCAGTGATTTGGTTAAGGCTGTATTTTCCAGTTCTCTTCACTGTGAAAGTATTTACAAATTTTATCATTGAAAAGCAATATCTGGGGCAAAATTCTGAGTGATTTGACATTGGACATACTGCAAAATGATCACCAGATGAAATCCAGTTGCTGAAACCATACGAAGTTAATACAATACTATTCACTGTATTCTCATATATTCCATCCCCAAAACTTACTTATTTTACAACTGAAAGTTTGTACCTCTTGATCATGTTTACCTATTTCATGCCCCACCCCCAAATCCCTCTCCCCTCTGGTAACTGCCAACCTGCAGAGAACAGATTGGTGGTTCTCAATAACTATTTATTCAATGGCTTTAGCTTTGATTAATAATATGGACCTGAATCAGTACATTTGGGATTATGACATGGTAATTTTTCTAATCCTCTCATTCTTCTTACATTTATTAGCTGGTCCTTGGTAAAAAAAAAGATCTGCTTCTCCTCTTTCTTTCTTCATTCCTTCTCATCTCCATCCTTCTCAGATTTGAAGAGCTTTTTCTTAAACTTTTATCATTTTTTTTTATTATTCTCAGGTTATCCCGAACAGAAGGCTTTTCAAGTGGACCACCTTGTCCTTTCAACAGGCACCATTAGTCTTCATGCACTTCCCTGACACAACAAAATATTCTGGGCTCCTTCAAAGCACCCTGTAATATACTTGCATACATAACGCATTCCCCTCTTTCACTGAAGATGTGCAGCTAATTTCTGGGATGGCACATTGGACACTGATTGCACTGGACCACAATGATGGTACGTCAGCTCCATTTTTTTTTCCTGTGAAAAACAAAGCCGCCATAACGTGGTAGCAGAGAAACTCAAGCCCCATCTAGAGTATTTCTACAAGGGTTCCCAGAAAAGTTATTTTCATATATTAATGCTAGAAAATATCAACTGTGTCACATCACTGTCAAATTAATTTTCTTATAATAGTTGTACTGACACTCTGCTATAGGTAGTATAATAAAACGGCTCACTTTTAAGGAGAATTTAACTTAAGTCAGAAAAGGTTTATTTTGCATATAAATTTGTCCTAAATTAATAACAGGCTATTACATTTTAAGGTGAGGCCAGCGGAAGACAACAATAGAAACTCTGCTACTAATGAAGACAATGACTCATGCTGACAATGATACATCAGCTCTGTTGTTACAGTATATGTTCTCCATGATTTCTCAAGGAAACATTGACATGATCCTTTCCATTTTCCAAGGGCAACAAAGACTTAGGCAAATAACCTAATTCACCCAGTTTATTGGCATCTGGACTATGAAACATTTTTTGTACCTAGATGTATTAAATTATAACTTAGTATTCTTAGGATACAAAATGTATTATTCTTGAATTGAGAAGACCACTAATTATCCACTGTCATAAAATCAATATTTCCATTTTTCTAGTGTTTTAAAGCTTTTCTTATTGTGATCTACTTATCCTAATGATCAATAGTGTACAGTTGTTAAAATCATGAAAGGTTTAGAGACGCAATCTTTTGAAGACAAAAAAAATATTTATTGTTACTGTAACACAAACTGGTCTACAGAAAGGATCAAAGCATGACCTTAAGTTTGTCAGAATTGCCCACCACACTTGCTGCATTCTAAAAAGTTTATTTTTTAAAATCTTAAATTTGTTAGCTATTCAGTGTCTTACTACGAAGAGATTCAGGGTCATTACAAAGATAACTATTATTCACGGCACTAATGAACTAAAACATATTAATATTTAACAAAAGAAATATGTTTATTAATAAAAGATTTCCTCAAATCACCAGAGAAAAAGTGATTAACTTCATTGATAAAGTAGGACGTTTTCTTTAAAAAGTAGCTAAGTTCTGAATATTAAGTACAAGTAGAAATATGCTAAGTCTCTTTTAAAATAATACATGGAATTCACAGAGATCTAAAGGTATGAAAGAGGAGAAAGAAAAGTTAGGAATACAATCATTGCTATGAAAATGCCCAGTGTAACTACATAGGCATCACTGGTGCACTAGTAAAACCTGTGCTCTCAGCACCCAGCTGAGCACATACTCCGCCTTCCATCTGGGCTCTACCCCAGGCACTGTGACTTGCTCTGAAGAAGGACTCACTTTGCTGCCTGCCACGTTGAGAAGTCAGAGTGGAATCAAAGGAAATTGTCACATAAGGGAGAAGTTCTCCCACTTACCAGTAAAATTACTATGAAGGTTATTGGCTAGTGGTTATAGTATAATGGGGGCTATCATTTTAGTACAGTGGCATAATGAGTCGTTATCCTTTAGTCTCAGTTGCAATACTAACTGCACTAATGCTGATTGTTTATTGTGTACCAGACCCTTCCCTACTCTCAATTAACTCAGTTAATCTTCACAATGACCCTGTGAAGCAGGTAGTACTGTTATACGTAGGCAATAGGTTTGCCAGATAAAATATAGGATCCACAGTTACATATGCATTTCAGAGAAACAACAAATGTCCCAATGTGATGTGGGACATATTTATACTAAAAAAATTATATTCATTTGTTTCCTTGAAATGCACATGTAACTGGTATTCTATATTTATATTGGCTAAACTGACCACCTTAATAGGTTTATGACATGCACAGGATCATCCAGTTGGAAGAGAGAGAACTGGGATTCAAACTCAGCCTGACTCCATAATCTTTGTTTTTATCCATTTCAGGATCCTGCCTCTCCAATAGAGACTGTGAATGCCAACAAACATGGGCTACTTGCCAGTCCACACAAGGGGAAAACAATGGAAGAGAACATTTGAATCTATGAAACATAACATGATGCTCTTCTCTTTCTTACATAAAGTACACTTACTTTTGAGAAAGAAACAGCTCAAAGACATCAGCATCCCTCTTGTGGCCACATATCTTTAGCTGCTCTTCAATTGCCTGATAACATATAATTAATCTGTCAAGCCACATTCCACTGAGCAGAAATACTGAGACATTTGCAGTCAATAACAATAATGTCTACAAAAAGATCAAAAGAAAAGTGAATATGGAGGCAACTACTCTAAACTGATAAATTCCAACACTACAATTCAACATTACTTAATCATTTTTGTGGTTGAATTTCATTATCCTTAATCCTGGGCACAGATGTGTAAATAAATTTTAATCAAGAGAAAAAAAAATGTGCGTGTGTACTTATATACCAAAAACAAGCTTTTTATTCTCCATGAGGAAGAATAATTTGGTCTTTAAATATCTGTAATTATTTCTTTAAGTGTGATGGACTGATATTTGGTAGGTTTTCCATTTTCAAAGAAGACAGTGTCAAGGTTGGAGATGGAAGGAGAAGAGTATAATGTACCCTATAAGTTCTCAATAAATGTCAGACAAATCAATGAATGAGTGTATGAATGTTTTTTTTTTCCCTCTGAAAAGAAATAGTGTCTTCATGTTTCAAGAGATATTAATATACTTGGACCATGGGAATTTTTGGTGGAGAAGAAGCTGTTTTTATTCCCACAGGTTTTTTCTTTGAAAATACATATCCAACAATAGTTATTTAACTGCTTTGCTTTTTCTTCTTAAATTTTTACTAAATTATAAAGTAACATTTATAGGCCATGTCACCTAATATGATATGGAAAAATTAAAGACCATCTACAGTTTGTCAATGAAGGAGTAACGCTAAAAAGACACAGCAGAAGTGGAGAGTATAATCATTGCACTTCTGGAATCTGACAAACACTATAATTATCAGGGTCAAAGCAATCACCAAATTTCAGAAATTTCAGCCTGAATTTGTTGTGGGTGGTGAGGTTATAATGTCAGTAAGTGATTTATGGATTTTTTGACACTGCTTTTATTATTTAGTAGGGGACATTAAAAATATTTAACGGGATGAACAAGTATCTAGAGGTGAGGAAGACAGATATCCCAGGGATGGAGAACAGCTGCTAATTTATACCCCCAACTTTCTTTGTGACCCTGTTATACAAGTTGGATCTTGGGGCTTGGAGAATTTATTGGTTCAGGTGTAGGCATTTCCATTAGGGTATTTTGTGACCATGATAAATGAGCTGAATCTGGAGTTTGAAAAAACCCCATTAGACATCCACATCTGGGTATTTTAATTTAAACATTGAAACTATCAGCTTGTACTATACACAGTCAATCTCAATTTTGCCAAAGTGTTTTGAATGTTAAGGCTTAGTCAAAGTATAATTAAAATTTTGCAGCTATCTATTAAAATTGCAAGATGGCTTCTAACTTAATCTCACAGTTTCAAATCTAACAGTCAGAAATACATCAGTACACACACACACAAGCAAAATGTGAATATCATTGCTCATCTCATACATACATTGTCTGTAGTTGTGAAATATGCCCAATTAATTGGAATAGGGGTTATATTAAGATGCAACTTCACAGTAGGACATATGCAGTAGCTTAAAAACAGAGAGAGATGGATATCTAGACCTAAAAAGATATCCAAAATATAATTTTAAGTAAAAATGCCATTGGCAGTATAATATTTATATATGTAACAATATTTTTGTTACTAACGACATTTATATGCACACAAAATGCACACACTCCAAACCATTAACAAGTTATTACTTGAGATTACAAGGGACTGTCACTTTTTAGCAAATTCCCTCTTCAATAATGTTTGAATATTTTGTGATATACACATATTAATTTAGTAATCAGAAATTAATATACATTCCGAACATTTTACCCATGGAATGAATCGTTCAGGACTTAAATTTTGAAAAGAAAAAGATGAAAAAGGGAAATGGAAACTCACAATATGTAAATCACTGATGTAATTAATTATTCATCTACCCAGCTCTTTATCATGGCATACGTCCTTCTAAGCAAAACTTTCATATGAAGAATCTGGTAACAAGAAGGTGTCAAAATGCCAGAGAACTCGAAAATGCGCCAAGAGGTTTCAAGTTTCAGTGAACCCGTGGTGGAACAGTTCCAGTTCCCAATCAACAAACAACTTCACTGGTAGCATATTCCTTTCATCTAAAGAGACACAAGAATTCTTTCCCTGAACTGTTTTGTTTTATTTTTAATTGTGGTAAAATATACATAATGTCGAATTTACTACTTTAACTGTACATTTTTGTGGTAATAAGTGCATTCACATTGCTGTGCAGCCATCACCACCATTCATTTTCAGAAGTTTTTCATCTTTCTCAGATGAAATTCTGTACCCACTACCTCTTCATTTCTTTCCCTCTTTCCTCTGTTTCTGACACTCACCCTTCTACTTTCAGTCTCCATGAATTTGTCTACTCTAAGTACCTCATATAAATGGAAGCATGCAGCATTTGTCTTTTTGTGACTGGCTTATTTCACTTAGCATAATGTCTTCAAGAATCATCTAGTTGTAGTGTATGTCAAGACTTCCTTCCTTTTAAGGCTGAATAATATTCCATTGTATGTGTATACCACATTTGGTTTTTTCATTTAGCTATCAGTAACACTTGGATTGCTTCCACTTTTTGGCTTTTGTGAATAATGCTGCTATGAATATGGGTGTACAAATATCTGAAACCCTGTTTGCACTTCATTTGAGTAGATATTAATACTCAGAAGTGGAATTGCTGGATAACATGATAATTGTATGTTTAACCTTTTGAGGAACTGCCATACTATTTTTTACAACAGCTGTACACAACAGCATACTTTTACATGAACATTTCTACCTAAGTTTGTCTAAACAGGTCATTCAGCTATTTATTGAACCACAAATTACTGTGGTTCAGGCTGTCACTAGTTTAGTCTATGGCTAGCTAGTAAATGTAGCAATGAATCGGGTACAATGTCTATTCCCTACAAGTAAACTGAACAAGAGAAGGAAGGATACACAATGTTGCAAAAGAAGGTTGCAAATGTTAAGAGAAGAAAAATCCCACTCTAGTGAATTCAGAGGAATAAGAAAGTACTGTGAACCCTGGGAACTTTGAGAGGATTTTAGGGCAAGACTGACAAGTGGGATCAGTCTGAATGATGAGGAGAATTTAGACAAAGATTTTGATGGGTGGGTGTTTTAGTCACAGGGAAGTAAGTATACAAAGGAGGAAAAGCAGGGGGAGAATGTACAAGGCATTAGGCTGGTACAGTCTTTGGCTGCAGGGAAAAGGAATACAGCAAGCAACTGTGAGGGATCCACTTTAAAAGGTGAATTGGGGTCATATACTTGTGCTCAGTTTGAAATTTAGGCTCAGAAGTGTGTACCTACTGCTCAAAGAAAACTTTAATGGTCTTAAGAATTCTAACTTAAAATCACATATTTTATGTAACCTAAAATTAAATTTAATTTTGTATATATATAAATGAAACATATATACTAACAGCATGGTAAAATCAGTGTAAGGAAGTCTAATAAAGTTCTGATTTTTTCCCATGACAACTATATCAATGCTTTTAAGTAATATCCAATATCAAGTTATTTTAAAATCATTTTTCCTCCTTCTCTTTTGGTGCCCTTGTTTTTTTGGGCTGTAAAAGAATGGACTTAATAACGACTGGGTAATTAATCAATGGACTCAACTCTGGGAAGTTTGCAGAGAAGTATTATAGGATTTTTAAACAGGAAAAAAGATGTGACAAAGCATACCATATCTCATGGCCTAGTGTGCAGATAGAACTGCAGACAGGAAGCAAGGTTGCCTCTGGAAAATCAAGTCAAGATCTGATAAGCCTGCCCCAGGGACAGAAGCAAGTGAGAATGAGCAGGGAACGGGGATGACATGTGAGCTACAGAGAGAACTGATGAGAACTGGCAGGTAACCGGAGGCAGAGAATAAGGGCAAGGGAAGCCACCGGTGATGATGATGATGTGATGACTCGGTGATGAGAAAGGTGACCGGGAGGGAAGATGCATGCAGTGGAGAAAGGGTGAACCCGAGGCACTGGTGGAAGAGGTCAAGGCGACCACCAGAAAGTTGCAAGTGGGAGAGTGAATCTCACCAGAGTGTCAGGATAGGTATGTCCAGCCTGGTCGTCGTCAGCCAGCACAGAGGAGAGAGTGGGACCCAGGGAAGACCGTCCTGAAGTGTCTACATTTGGAAGGAGGAGGAGAGAGCCAAGCTGCATAAGAAGATACATGAGGGATTGTTATAAAGTTATGAAGAGAAGCAAAAAGACAGTCGGAACAGAGAGGGCGGGTTTCAAGAAGGTAGAACTTGAATCTGCAATATTGTGTAGCATGGTAGAGAATATCACACAGAAAAGGTATTCAATTTGCAGAGCAATTTCAGGAATCTGATAAGGGGAAAATGTTTCAAATTAACTGATTGATGAAACAGGATAAAAAAAACTACCCAACACAAAACTTGGATGTAGATCGTTCTAGCATAGAGAAGAAAAAAAGCAGCTACTTCCACTGCAGATACCTTGGGATCTAGATAAAGTAGAATAAAATGTTTGAAAATTGTGGAACTACTACATCCTAGAAGAATGAAGACTTTATTAAGATCTATAGAAGAAAATATCCTCACTTTGATGATTTATCTACTATAATGATTCATTCCTATACCTTCATGCAATACACATGCATCACAAGTTAGTTAGGATTTAGTGTGAAGTTTCCATTTCATTACAGAACGTTCAGCCTTGACTAATTATCATAGCTCCAAGCCTTTCTAGACAAGCGTGAGAACTCGAGAACACCTTGTTAGGTCCTAAATGGTACAAAGCAATTGTGACTTTTTTTCATTCCCCAATCAAGGATTCTTTTAGTCATTATCTAAACTGTCCTCAACTCTGCTTGTATTGTCCCTCAAAGAACTTTTCCTCTCCAGTGTGTCAATCTGCACTTTAGGGAAACAACATTTCAGGGCTCTACATGTATATATATATATGAGGGTCAAGATTTCAAATTTATGGTGTTATTAATCTGTGTGCCAGCAGGCATCCTCGGTTGCTTCAGTCCTGTCTGACTTTTCCTGCATTCTGTAGACTGCAGCCCACCAGGCTCCTCCGTCCATGGGATTCTCCAGGCAACAATCCTGGAGTGGGTTGCCATGCCCTTCTGCAGGGGGTCTTCCTGACTCAGGGATCCAGCTGTGTCTCTTACCTCTCCTGCACTGGCAGGAGGCTTCTTTACCACTAGCGCCACCTGGGAAGTCCTGTTAGTCTCTATAAGCTGCCAAAACTATATATGCCTGAGATACTAAATGGGAAAGGGTCAGTGTAAATCAATTAGTGTGGATCGGGACAGTCCTCAAACCCCAGTCAGGAGATGACAGGCTTCTAGCCCCAGTGGAAAGTTTGGCTGGGGACTGTGATTGCGTTATCCCTTCGCCCCGGACCCCGGGGTGGCCTCCAGCGGACTGGAGCTCTGTCAGGATCCCCCGAAACGCTCCATGGCCTGGGGAAGAGGGAGATGCTTACCGTACGGCTGATTTCCAGGGCAGCTTCTGCGGCCTTCACTTGGATTGCTGGGTGTCGGCAGGCACGCGGCAGATGACTGGGGTCCCTGGCCATCGGGACACCCGGGCATTCAGCAGCACCTGTGATTGACCCAGCCTGGCCCGCGGCTGACTGTTCCGGCGGTTACCAAGAGTTACCACCACCCTGTGGACCAAAAGCCAATCCGAAGTAGGGAAGATGTGAAGCCAAATCCGGACTTCTGTGACGTTTGCGCTTGTGGCCCTGCAACAGCCACTGCGTCCTACCTAGGTCTCCAGTGTTTCTCCTACGCGGGGTGCTGCATACCGCGGATGTAGGAGGGATGGCGATCGGGTAGAGACCAGAGACCACGAGTGTATCAGAGGGCCCCACTGAAGTCACCCAGTAATAATAACTCAATATATTGAGATCTGAATATTAGAAAATTTAGGTTTCTGAAAAGTAGGTGTGTGTGAAACCACAGCCACCTGTGAAGGATAGGAGTGAGGCAGGGCCTGGTGGAATCCTCCTGGAGCTTAATGCAAAAGGGAAAAAAAAAAATACCAGTGAGACTGTCTTTATTTTAAAATTTGACATTTTTGTTCATCATGTATGTTTTGCATTAATTTTTATTTTCTGAAAAGAAATATTGCATTAGGATTTCTTTTGTTAAGCTGAGCCACTATTTGGCCAGTCTCATCCAATCTTGAAGACCTTATGATTTTATTTATGTGAATTTGGTTCTCCTCTAGCTTGGGAAACTTTTGGAGGCTGGAGTTTTTTTTTTTTTTGGCCAGGACCTAACACAATGAATTTAATAACAATTGATTCAACTGAATAGGTTGGTTTCTTGGCACCAAATTTGAACTTGAAATCTAAGAATTAAATGTAATTTTTTGAAATGGATCAAGCTATTGCATTAAAAAGTGTTGGTATTGGAATAGAGCATTAAAAAAGGTCTCAGTGAAGGAGTCAAAACACATTCTTTCTAGAACTTTTTGTAAATATTTGAGTATAAATACTTTTTATAAGTACTTGAGCCTTTTGGGGGTGGGTGGATAAAAGTTCTTCTAGGTACCATGGGGAAAGTAACCATCTGAGAACCATTGTTTAAATAGTTTCTAACCCAGGAATAAAAATCAGATGAAAGAAATGGTCCACTGAGAAAAGCTATAAAATAATTTACTAGCATCTTGTCTCCCATCTTTGCTGTTAATATGTATGACAGCTTTCCAGATATCATTTATTAATATGCTACATAGAAAAATGGAGATGCATACTCCTAGGTCAACTTTGTACATTAGACAAATGTGAGTTTTACAACCACAGGCTATTTACTTTTAGAGAGCATCTTATAGAAGTAAAATACTAACCAGTTAATTTCTACTAAAATCACATTTAAATATTTTATTCTGAAATCTCTTCACTTTACACTGATTCAGAGGAGAAAATAAATTTTAAACAGAGAGCTCTGTTCTTAGGAAAGGAACTCAGAGACTCATATATTAAGAGGCCTTGTATGTTCCCTCTTCAAGAAAAATTTACCATTTAATTGATTGCAAGGACTAAAATAATGCAAGTTTAAAATGAAATGTGAAAGATGGGGATTAGTGAAGGCACTTCTTGATTCTTCCTAGATGTCTTCACACACTGGTGGTCTACAGAAGAGGTACCCCTAGCCAAGAGAACAGAGAGAACTTTTACCTTCATTTGATGGGATTATAGCCTGAGGAATCCAGCCTGAAATTTAAAAAATTCATGTAAAATGTACATTCTCCTTTATAATCAATTTTGTTTCAATATAAAAATAAAGTGGCTCCCCCTAGCTCCCCTCAAATCTTTGAGTAATATTTACATTGAAGCAAGACACCCTGTGTTTATCCTGTGGCTTCGCCTCCCTGGCATGCTGCCATTGCCTACAGGGCTATGCATATCCCGGTTTGAAAGCTCTATCATATCATGTATGTGGATTTGGATAAGAAAAAAATCCTTGTGTTCCAAGTCAGGGCATGTGGAGTTTAGTCTCAGTTCTGAAATTAACTATCTGTTGGTCGCCTTCTAGTCACTTAATGGCTCTGAACCTCAGTTTCTTCAACAGTAAAGTGAAGAAGCTGAACATTTACTTCAAAAAATCCATTATTTAATTACACTCTCCCAGACAGGTAGAATGTATTGTTCACAGAATAAAAAGTTCTCATTGAGATGTTGACATGCAATTGTTTCTCAAGAATAATTTGCTAGTAAAAAGTGTGTAAGAAAAAAATTATGCATGTAATGGCCATCATAAAATCTACATAATTTTTTAAAAAATTCTCTTCCTAATTTGTCTTGAATAATTACCTCCCATTCCTACTGTATACAATGACCATAGAATAAGTAATACATCAGTTACTATCAAATCACATTCTTTTATGTATACCTTTTTATGATATATGATGCCGTTCTTTACCACGGAACCCCCTGGGAAGTTAAAAACTGTCTTCTTTGCTCTTTTCTCCCTGGCTAATGCCTGTTGCCTCCAGACTTTGAATAAACGTCACTTCTGAATCTATCTCCAAAAGTACCCTTCACTGACCTCCAAGGTCCACGCCCAGAATGCCATCACTTGATGCAGCCATTTCCACTTCATCTTTACATGCCTGTTTTCTCTCAGAATTCACACACAACCCTCAAAATACCTTCCTGTATAAGAAGTGATTCAAGTTTGGAAACATGCTATATTGTCTGGAAAAGCTAGAAACCTCTAGGAAGAATCCCAGCTTGATCGAATGATATAATTTTCAGTTCCAAACCTGAATTTGCTTCAGTGTGATTTCACATCTTCTCCCAAGAACCTATCTAAGCTCTGCCCATCCCCTCTTATAGCCACCTTTTCACTATCCTTTACACCTAGGGCATCACATGTCCATTAGGGTTGTAGAGGGGGCAAGAACTCCAGATGGGTTCATCCACTTGTCCCTCAGTGGAGGGCATGAGCGTGGTGGGACATGAGTCCAGTAGAAGACCTGAGCAGAGTCCTCTAAATCAAGGAGCCTAGGGCAGAAGTCCCCTTGCCTAAAATTAGAGGTAATACTGGGTGGAATTCACACAACTCACAAATACTAATTTTCATTATAGCACTTCATTGTGTAATGTCATCAAAATTACTAACCCTTCTCTTACTATGCTCAGTTTTGACTTGGTGAGTTACTGATAGACGTTTATCTTAAGCTAGCAGAGAAGTCTTGTTAATGCTATTAAGAATGCTGCATTTAGCACTGTTTATAATAGTCAGGACATGGAAGCAGCCCAGATGCCCATCAGCAGACGAATGGATGAGGAAGCTGTGGTACATATACACCATGGAATATTACTCAGCCATTAAAAAGAATTCATTTGAATCAGTTCTAATGAGATGGATGAAACTGGAGCCCATTATACAGAGCGAAGTAAGCCAGAAAGATAAAGACCATTACAGTATACTAACACATATATATGGACTTTAGAAAGATGGTAACGATAACCCTATATGCAAAACAGAAAAAGAGACTCAGATGTATAGAACAGACTTGTGGACTCTGGGAGAAGGCGACGGTGGGATGTTTCAAGAGAACAGCATTGAAACATGTATATTATCTAGGGTGAAACAGATAACGAGCCCAGGTTGGGTACATGAGACAAGTGCTCGGACCTGGTGCACTGGGAAGACCCAGAGGGATCGGGTGGAGAGGGAGGTGGGAGGAGGACCGGGATGGGGAATACATGTAAATCCATGGCTAATTCATTTCAATGTATGACAAAAACTACTGTAATGATGTAAAGTAATTAGCCTCCAACTAATAAAAATAAATGGGAAAAAAAAATAAAGTACTTATCTTCTGATATACTAAAAAAAAAAAAAGAATGCTGCATTTGCATAGAGAACAGGCTTAGGGACAGGGCAGCAGGGAGGGAAGGAGATGGTGAGATGAATGGAGAGAGTAGCATGGAAACATATACATTACCACACATTAAGTAGATAGCCAGCGGTAATTTGCTATGTGACTCAGAGAACTCAAACTGAGGCTCTGTGACAGCCTGTAGTGGTGAGATGGGGTGGAGGGTGGGAGGGAGGTTCAAGGGGGAACGGACATATGTATACTTTCGACTGATTCATGTTGATGTATGGCAGAAGCCCACACAGTATTGTAAAGCAATTATCTTTCAATTAATAATAAGTAGATGAATATAAAAAAGAATGTTGCATTTTATCACACATATGATGTAGCAATCAGGCATTTCAAGCATAAAGTCTCTCTCTATATAAATGTGTGGCTCTATATACATGTATATATATGTATGTGTATATATTTATGTGTGTGTGCATGCTAAGTCGCTTCAGTCGTGTCTGACTGTGTGTGATCCTATGACTGCAACCTGCCAGGCTCCTCTGTCTATAGGATTCTCCAGAAAAGAATACTGGAGTGGGATGCGTGCCCTCCCCCAGTGGATCATCCAGACCCAGGGACTGAACCTGTGTCTCTTACATTTCTTGCATTGGCAGGCAGTTTCTCTACCACTAACACTACTTGGAAAACCCAATGTATGTATGCATACACATGTTAATACATGCGTGTGCATGCATGTATGTATATATTCATACAAATGCACACCCATGTGCACACCGCCCCCCCCCACATACATAGCAGGCAAACTCTACAATGCCCCCAGTGATCCTACTGGTTTTCACATCCTTGTGTAATTAATTCTCTCCCCTTGTGTGTAGGCTGGACTTTGGACTCACTCCAAATGAACGGAATATGGCAGAAGGGCAGGCTATCACTTCTGAGGGCAGGTTACAAAAAAACTATGACTTCTGTCTGGGGCACCTTCTCCCTTTTTCTCTGGCCCACTCTGAGATAAACCAGCATCCTGTTGTGAGCTGATCTATAGGGAGGCCCATATAGCAAGGTATTGATGTCTCTGACCAACAGCCACAGCAGCCCCGAAGCCTGCAATGGTCACATGAGCCAGCTTGGCAGTAGATCCCCCAGACTGGAGCCTTGAGATGGTCACAGTCATGCAGGCTCCTGAGAAACTCAGTCAGAGTCACCCAGCGGAGGCACACCCAGATTCCCGACACTCAGAAATGGAGATAATACATGTTTGCTGTTTCAGCTGCAAATGTTTTGAGGTAATTTGCCATGCAGCAATAGGTAATTATAAACATGTATGTCTATTATTGGGGTTTCCCAGGTAGTGCTAGTGGTAAAGAACCCTCCTGCCAATGCAGGAGATGCAAGAGATACGGGTTCAATCCCTGGGTCAGGAAGATCCCCCGGAGGAGAGCATGGCAACCCACTTTAGTATTCTTGCCTGGAGAATCCCATGGACAGAGGAGCCTGGTGGGCTACAGTCCAAAGGGTCGCACAGAGTTGGACATGACTGAAGTGACCTAGCATGTACACATGCATGTATATTATTATGTATTATATATAATATGCACATTATATATAAATATCAATATAGTTGTACAGCAGAAACTATACAACACTGTAAAGCAATTATATGCCAATTAAAAAATATATACATAAAAATTTTCAAAAACTGACAAAAGTTATCAAAAGAAATAAACCAATATCAATATCAATTTAAAATCTCAGAAGACAGATACATTTCAATAATCTAATTCAGTCTTTTTCAAAAGAATTCTTGCTCCTGTCACCTTATGTCATAAACACTTGAGAAAATTTCCATCCTGACAATTTCAGATTAATATTTAAATCTGGAAAGACAGATATATTCTTGGAATGTTATCTGCATGCAACTACATGTTTAAATGTAAAAATAAATTTAATTCTTTTATCATAATAGACAATGATTTAGTTGGAGGACTGTTATTAAACTACAACTGAATCTAAATTGAGTATTGACATAAAAAAATACCATCTTCCAGAATAAATACTATTACCAAGTCAATAAATATTTTCTCATCTTCTTACATGAAAACTTTTTCAAATGTGCTATATATTTAAAAAATGTAGTGGGACAATGAAAGCACTATTATTTTGTCAAGTTTGAGGTGTTATTTTGGAGCTGGATTTCATGTCTGTTAACATATAGGCTTCTTTGTGACTCTTTCTAACTCAAGCATCTGAACCTGCTGGAGTTTTCTTCTTCACACTCGCGTAATTTAAACATTTCAGAATAAGGACTCAGCTTGAAAGTCATTTCCCTTTTTGACCTGGATTATTTCTGCAGAAGATCCGTGTTAGCAGTGGCATCTGGGATTCTTGGAGATAGTTTCTTTGTTGCTCTTGTCTACAAAGTGGCAGAGAGACTCCAAACTAGCTCCAAGCAGCCTGAGTTACCACAGGCTACACTTAGGCAATCAAGCCATTGAAACTGCATTTTCACTGCATGAGGTAGCTACATCAGGTGATCTGATATTCTTCATCAATGTATTCATTCCTTCAGCCAGTCAGGCACTAAAACTGACTAAGCCCCTACCATAAACTACACATTCTGTCAGGGGCTAGAGGATGTGAATGAGATTCACTCCAAGAAATGGTTGTTAAGAAGCAAATCTCATGGGTATCCACACCTTTAAACACATTAATTGTAGTTGGTTCTACTTTGATATTACCTGGCATTCAAGTAGATCATTAAAACCACTACTATTATTTGCTTAGAGTGTGAAGTGTTTCAATTACCTTTGTAAATAATTCCAAACTGTATTATTGACCATATTGACTGTGTACTCTTTGTAGCCTTTATTCAGCTGCTAGGTATTTTACTAGCAATGCTTTCATTACCACTTCTTCCCACAAAACAAAGACAAAAGATCAATAATTATTTTAATTAGAGATACTATGTATTGCAAAGTAGTTCAGAAAAACCTTTTTCATAAAAAGTACAAAGGCATTGAGAGATTTTGCATTGAAAGTATATCTAGAATTTCAGAAACATCTTTGCTTCATGAATTCATTTTAGATTATAACAAAGGAAAAATTGGTTTTCCCAATTAGGGTATACTTTCCATGAAGTTTGGCCAGTTTTTGTAAATTTGGATAGGAAAAGTAAACTAACTAATTTTGGCTTTGCCCAATTCTTCCTTTACTTAGAGATCTGACTAAAGCAGTAAGAAGCAGGAGTCCAGCTGAAGGCCACTAGATTCCTGTGTGCTAAGTTGCTTCAGTAGTGTCTGATTTTTTGTGATACTATCGGTTGTAGCCCACCAGGCTCCTTGTCCGTGAGGATTCTCCAGGCAAGAATACTGGAGTGGACCTCCTCCACGACCTCCTCCAGGGTATCCTCCTGACCCAGGGATCGAACCTGTGTCTCCTGCATTGCAGGCGGATTCTTTACCTCTGAGCCGCTGGGGCACTATATCGGTGACAGACGTTGGGGGCTGTTGCAGTCATGGACAATTAAAAACAGGTGAGGGGATAAGGAGAAGCAAGTGGGAGAGAACAGGACAAAGAAGTAAAAAAATCAGGGAGATAAAGAGAGTGGAAGGGAAGGTGCAGAGAGGAGGTGAGGAGCAGGAGATAAAGAGAAGAAAAAAGGGAAAAGAAACAGAAAAAACTGAGAGAGGAAGGAAGGGGGAGAGCAGAGGGAAGGAACACACTGTGATTAGGAATTACGTTGTCATTTGATCACTATCTTTTGAAAAGAGATGTTCTTCACTGGGGGCACAGCTTCATTCCCAATCCTGTGGCCCAGTGAGGCTGATAATCATAGTCTTTAAACTCCCATCTTTAAGGGTAGGTACATGATCTGAGACAGGCTAAGCCGAATAATTGTAACTAAGGGGAAAAGGAGGATTTCCTTTCTTGTGGTAAATCTATGCAGTATAAGATTTGGAAATAGTATCACTTGCTGCCTCAATACCTGAAACCAGGAAGCCCTCACATGACCTAAGTGCACATTCTCCTCCCTGCTCTGCGTTCACAGATAAGGTCCCCTGGTCAAGCAATCCTCCTTATCAAGCAGACCAGGTACAATTGCTACTTAACTCCTAAGCAGCAGATTTCATTTCCTTGCCAGCCCGCGGAATTAGTCAAACAATCTAATCACATCCTTGTGTGGGAACCAAGGCACCCCACCCTCTTATTCCTACAAAGCCTGCCTCCCACAGCCTCTGGTTGCTCCCTCCCACGGTCCAAACTAACTTGTGAGGAGCCATTGAACTGTTTTCTACAGTGACTGCACCACCTCACTTCTACCAGCAACATATGGGTTTGAATTTTTCTACTCCTCACCAACACTCATTATTATTTTAATTTGCATTTCTCTAATGACTAATGGATTCCCAGGTAGCATAGTGGTAAAGAATCCGGCTGCCACTGCAGGAGACCTAAGAGACTCAGGTTCAAGGTTGGAAGATCTCCTGGAGTAGGAAATGGCAATCCACTCCAGCACTCTTGCCTGGGAAATCCCATGGACGGAGGAGCCTGGTGGGCTACAGTCCATGAGGTCACATTGTGTCAGACACGACTGAGTGAGTGAACACAGCACAGCAATGACCAATGATGTTGAGTATCATTTTCACATGCCTGTTGGCCATTTGCGTATCTTCTTTGGAAAAATGTGTATTCAAGACTTTTGCCCACTTCTTGATTGGTTTGTTTTTCAGCTGTTGTGTTTCTTGCATATTATGAATACTATACCCTTGTCAGACATGTGGCTTGCAGTGTATTCCTCCATTCTATAGGTTGTCATTATAATCTGATAGTTTTTTTCACTATTTCTACTCCTCTAATTAATGCTAATTACAATTCATCCTACATGTATTATTTTTGAGTATTCATTGTTTTACTCTACTCTTATAATGAGAGGTTTGGTTAAAAGCCACCAAGTTAGAATAGGGTCTGCCTGACCTACCTCCCTGGCTTATAGTTTTTGGTCTAAAGGTGGGGATTTAAGCTTATCCAGACCTCACAACTCTAGCCACAATTATTGATCCATCACACTAGTTAGGCCAATCAGAATCCTTCTCTAGGATCTGTTCACTATCATTAAACTGTTATTGTATGAACCTAGAGACTGCCACCAGCCATACTTCTTTCTATATAGAAAGTAGATTTACAGAAGAAGAAAATAAAACTAACATACAGAGACTTCCCTGGTGGTCCAGTGCAAGGGGCTTTGGGTTCAGGGAAGTTCCACATGCAGCATGTCCAAAAAATAATTAACTAAAAAGCCTTTATTCACTTAAAAAAAACCCAACTAATATACAGAGCAAGAGAAGATCATGTCTAATGGCATTTGAGCTCTTGGTGCTAGCTAGCTTTATGCCTGTTTTCATTGCAGTTTTGTTATGTGGGTCAATACACTTTTCTTTCTGTTTAAGCTGGTTTGTATCAGATTTCTCTACTTTAAATCAAGAACATGACCAAGTTTGTTGATGTGGTAATATTATCCTGAAGGTGTACCTTATAACATCATGGCATTTTCACATATACATCGCATTTCTTGGATCTACAGCCTGCCCACACTGACTCTAATTTTTACTGTAACACTTGCCCAGAGTTTTCCTCTATTGATCTACCTTGCCCCATCCCTCCCCCAAATTAAGAACTAATAAGAAAAATTTGAAATAATTCTCCTTTTTTCTCTCTGTAAAAATTTACATTAAAATATTGGACAGATGCCAAAAGCTTGAAGTACAGCTGCATTTTGTGATTTAATTAAATATCATAATCCTGTTTGCAGTTTCTATTAGTAACAGGAATGAATGTTATAAAAGGAGCATTTACTAAAAGGAATGTGTTGTGTGATTTAATGTATGCTAAATGTAGGTGGTCTAAAAATATTCTACTGCATTCCTACCTTTGCTAACAAACTTTTGATATACTGTCACTAAAGTGTGAATACCATTCAACAAAGGAAGTCAACTAAGCCTTTTATATGACATTATTTTAAATAATCTTTTCTATATTTTCTAAGTCAGATTGTATAGCTAGTTGATTCAGCTACCTATTGTAATGTTAGTTGGTGGGAAATGTCATGCATCCTGTCTTTGGAATGATTACATACATTCCTTTTCAATTTCCTTTTGTTGAGTTTTGTTATATTTTGTATTATGGCCTTAGTAAGTAGGATGTCTTTGGGGTGAAGAAAATCCCTTATTTCCGATCTTTGTCGTTTACAAATTAATGACTCAAAGTATTACAAGTGCACTCCCAGAACTGTTTATCTTGCTGTGGCCCACGGTGAAAATGACTTCTACTACAAAATTATTCTGTTCTTTGACATGATCCCTTGGTATTTGGGGGTTCTGTTTTCTCTAAAAGTTCAGGAATTCCCTGTCAGAAGCCCTTTAACAAGAACATTTACTAAGAATCTTATTGGATTGGTAAACTTGACAGTTTCTTTGCTAAAAAAAGTATAGCTTCCACAGCTTAACGTCTCACCCTATGGCTATTTTGTTCCCTCTTGTCATATTTTTTTCCTATACAATTATTAATCAAATAAGCTATTTTTTTAACTTTATGTAGTTACTTAGATATGGATCACACCTAAACTGTAGGTAGCCACGGCAACGTAACAAGCTCACACTCTGTATTAATGAAGAACATTTAAGAAGCTTCATTTAACTGGTGGAATGACCCTGAGGCAGTTGTCTGGAGTTCCACATGAGAGCGACCCACTGGAAAATCATAAAGTCTGGCTGTGTCTTTTTCCCAGGACAGTGTCTAAGCCCTGGATCTTATATTGTTTATCTATAAATGATCTTGGGTTTTGCTTCCAGTCACCCAGTGTCTTGGTCCTTCTGATTTGTCATGCACAGAGCCACTGGCAGACTCACTGGCAGTGATAGGTGCTAACTATGGAGCAAAGGTGTAGTTATCAGGTAGGATGTCTTTTATTATAGCACCTGGACACTAGGCTCTACTTGTTCAAACAGTTAAGAAATGCCTTGCCTCTGTAACAAGAAGCCCAAAGGAAGAGCAGTTCTGCGCTCTATACAGTCAGGACCAGGGCTCCAGAACTCTGCTCGTTTTAAATGCTATACTCCTCTAAGTCAGCTTTCCTTTCAGGTTGCTTCCTTCCGACACAGGACAGCAGTGGCAGCACCGGGTTTCATTTTGATGTATTACTATTGAGAGGAATAAGAGGGGCTACTTATCATCATCAACTTCTGAGAGTGAAAACCTTTCCAGGAGTCTCTCCTTTCGTGAATGTATCCTTCTGGGTGTCCTGGGCCTGAATGGTGTCACAATGCCCTCCTAAATACTGGCCAGGGGGGTGGTATTGCTATCATTCATGGACAATTAAGGTCCACTTTGAAGCCCAGGTTGCCCTGCCAGATGGACTCTCCCCTCACTCAGCTTGGAGACTGACAGTCCACACGGGTCTGCTGGATGTCCACCTCCCCCTGCTGGAACTCACACCACCCCCTAGGCTGTCTCTTTCCACAAGGACACGCTCCTTACCTGGCTTGAACTCTGACACTGCACCCACCTGCCATTCCATGAGGCTTCTCCAGAAATGGGAGAGGCTCTGAATCCTCCGTATGGGCCAACTCCATGCACCAATGAGTTCGTCACCCAGTTCAGGCTCTGACACCCCTGCCCTCTGTCACTGCACGGAGACTGACTGCTTACCCACTGACAGTCTGTTCCAACAAGAGTTAAAACCTTGCTCAGATGCAACTTTTATAGCAGTCTATTTAAAGAAGCAAGTTGATATGACAAATAGCTATGTACAAAGTTAAAAAAAAAAAGCTATGAGATTTTTCCACTCAGAGGAAAAAAAGATGGGAGTTGCCAGGACAGAAAGCTGTGACCCTGCATGCACACTGTTGCTATAGTCCCTACAGATAATACAGGTGGTTTTCATAAGTTAAAACATATATAACCATTTCTCCATCTTACCAGCAATATCTCAAGTTACAGAAACAGAAAATAGCTATTTAAAATGACATTTTAAGTTTAAAGCCTATGTAGTGATATTTATCAACTGGAAATATAAAAATAAGCACCTGACCCTGTTTTGCCATAAATTAATTAAAAATAGAACCCTTTTAAAGGGTTAATGTCTCGGTACTTCTGATCAGTCCCCTACCACAGTTTCATCACTCCTGTGACCAGAAGGCAACTTAGAGTGGCAATAAACCTTTTATGTTGCTGTATTACCTGCAAGATTTCCACAGCAGGCTCGGTTTACAGATGTGAGGACTGAGGCACAGACATTTAAGTAACAGATCCAGGGTCACACAGCTGTAAGCGGGACAGGCAGGACCCACCCCCGTGAAGCCTAGCTCCCTTGCCTTTACAGTTCCTAGTGTATGATCGTCTGGGGACGAAGCACATGACTGTGATATTATCTCTAATAGGAGAAATCTAAGAAACAACCAGAGAGGGGAAAGGATTTTTGAATCATCTGTCCTGTGGAAATTAAACAGCTATAAAAGAATGATGCAATAGAGTCACATTTACCGATGAGGAAAGACGTTTAGTTTATCACACAATGTTTGCTATAAAAACTGAGTCAGGACCATCTACAGATTACAAAGAGAGTGTTTGTATAAACCTATAAATGCCCCAAGCAGGACTGGAAAGATTCCCAGCAAATTGTCCACAGTGTCAGTCTGGGAGAGCAGACTTGGGAAGTGAATTTCAATTATGAGAGAACAGAATTTGGATTGAGATGAGGAATCTCAGGGAGTGGAGGTAACTCAACACAGAACAGGAAGGGGAGGCCAAACAGGCCACCAGAGAGAGGAACACCCAGGAGGTCCATGCTACCCAAGGAGTGGGGTGGATTCCACAGGCCAGAAACTGAGGTCTCCCCTGTCTCAACTGCACGCGGGGAAATCAGCTGCCCAGATCAGCTTCCGGATGATGTCAGGCATACCTGGGCCAGGTGTGCTCACCAGGGTCCTTCCCCTTTATAGGGTTAAAAGGCACCCCTGCCTACCGGCCTATGACAGGTAAATTATGGGTCTGTCAACTAGACAGAAAATCTCAAAGCAGAGTAAGAGACACAGAAGTCCACCAGGCTCCTCTATCTATGGGATTCTCCAGGCAAGGATGCTGGAGAGGGTTGCCATGCCCTCCTCCAGGGGATCTTCCCGACCCAGGCATTGAACCAGTGTCTCTTTTGTCTCCTGCATTAGCAAATTCTTTACCACTAGTGCCATCTGGGAAGCCCTGTTGCAGGTTAAACATCCCTTAATTATGAATGGCCTACTGAGAACATTCTGACCTGCTTTCTGTTTAACTTCCTTCAGGGGAAGTCCAGGAACCTCCATCAAGCACTAGGAAGGTGGCTGATGCCGGGGGTGAACATTGGAATGAGACTCAGTTCTTAGCCTGCTTTAGTGAGTGGCCAGGCTTAATCTGCCAGTCTGCTGCCTTTGAGCCTTGTGGTGTTGCATTTGAGAGGCCACATTTTCTTTCTGACCATGAGTGAAGACACCATCCAGAATGCAGAGCCACCTGGGTAAGGCCCAGAGACTTGAACCCCTCCTGCTATGTTGACTTCGTCTACTTTTGCACCAGTCACTGAGTAATAGTATTCGTCACCATATGGGTAACACCGGGCTTCCCTGCTGGACTTAAACTGTAAAATGGTCAGAACCTGTCCTCATGCATCCCAGGCCATGTGCCCAGGATCAAGGGAAGACTCAGCCTGGCTCCTCTGGGCAGCTCTCTCTAACTGGTCACAATGTGCAAAGCATGCTGGGGAGAATCCGGGGGTCTGGGAAAGGGGGAAGGTCCCCATGCTTAAATTCTCCATTGCTGCACTCTGAGGGTGGCCCCAGGCTGGGAGAGGACAGGGCATCAGGGCATCTCCCAAGATGACATGATGGTTATCATCATGTGGTCTTACTTCTTAGCAAATTTACCAGAGAATTTCACTGATGTTAAGCATTTTCCTAAACCAATCCAGCTTTTCAGCAAATGTCAAGGACATTTTGGGTGAAATTGAGTGACTTATGGAAGTTAGGAACCTGATGAAATTAAAATGGAAACAATTTTATGCAGAAAAGAAGCCCAATTGAAATTTTGACTGGGTTGCACTAAATTTATAGATTAATATAAGGAAAATCCAGATCAATATAAACTATTAAGACTTCCCATGCAGGTGTGAGAGTTTGAAATGTTACCCTATTTCTTGAGATTGTTAACTCAGCGGACAAGGCCATCCTTTTGCCCTTCCTCTTAAAAAAAGTTTTTGTTTTTTTTTAAACTGATGGCTATTTGTTGTTAAACATGTGATATTGGGACTTCCCTGGTGGTCCTGTGGCTAAGAATCGGTCTGCTAACGCAGGGGACACAGGTTTGCTCCCTGGTCTGGGAAGATTCCACAAGCCTCGGGGCACCTAAGCCTGTGCACCACAATCAATGAGCTCACAACCCGCAACTACTGAAACCCTTGCACCCTGGAGCCCGTGCTCTGCAATAGAGAAGCCGCCAGAGTGAGAAGCCCATGCCTCCCAGAGAGGAGCCCCTGCTCCACACAACTAGAGAAAGCCTGTGCACAGCAACAAAGACCCAGCACAGCCAAAAACAAATACATGTTTTAAATAAATAAATACATGATATTGGACATAGGCGGGATTTGTACTTGATCTTAATTGAAGTAAGCCTTCTGAAGCAATTTAATAAAGTGGTGACAGCATCATTTCCATAAAGTGAGTGAATCATTTGACTATGGAAGCTTCTTACTTGGTGATTTTGAAATGATTAACAGCAAGTTAGTCATAGTCCTTCTGATAAATGATAACATTACTCTTAGCTCTCTTTCTTCCTATTCTTTCTTCTCACAAGAGTTTTATTTACCCCAAAATATTTGTTTAAACTCTTTTATGCTAAAGAGCTATTTTAGACCCTAGGGACACATCAGAAAAAATAAAAGAGAAAATTTATTTCCCTCATTACATTTTAATGGGTACAACCCAGCTATATAACTTGATATTGTTGCTGTTGCTATTCATTCGCTCAGTCATGTCTGACTCTTGGTGACCCCATGGACTGCAGCACACCATGTTTCCTTGTCCTTCACTATCTCCCAGAGTTTGCTCAAACTCATGTCCATTGAGTTAATGATGCCATCCAACCATCTCATCCTGTCAGCCCCTTCTACTCCTGCCCTCAATCTTTCCCAGCATCAGGGTCTTTTCCAGTGAGTAAACTCTTCACATCAGGTGGCCAAATATGGAAGCTTCAGCTTCAGCGTCAGTCCTTCCAGTGAATATTGAAGGTTGATTTCCTTTAGGATTGACTGGTTGGGTCTCCTTGCAGTCCAAAGGATTCTCAAGAGTCTTCTCCAGCACCACAATTCGAAAGGATCAATTCTTTGGCACTCAACCTTCTTTATGGTCCAACTCTCACATACATACATGACTACTGGAAAAACCATAGCTTTGACTAGATGGACATTTATCAGCAAAGGGATGCCTCTGATTTTAATAAGCTGTCTGTGGCTGTATATCTTTATCTGTAGCTGTTTCCATGAAAAAAGGAAAGCTTGACTGTTTCTCCATGATGATGTGGAGATATGATGAGGGACTCAGCATATTTCTGGCCCTGTTACCTTCTCAGCACATGGTTAGATACACTTCCTCCGTCCCTTTTCATTGCATGGGGCCAGGTGACTAGCTACAGCCAGTGAGCGTAAATAGGAAAATTGGGGTCATTTCTGGACGGGAGCATTTATATAATAGTGCAAGATCCTCCATGCCGTTTCTTTCGCCCTGACACGAGAATGTCAGCCTCTGAGACTGTGGCTGCTTCATCAGCCTGGGTTCCTGAACGACTGTCACCTCTTCCCGCTGGACATGGTGTGCGACTGAGACACTTTGTGGTATTGATCCTCTGAGGTTTTGTAGGGGAGGCAAACTGTTTTACTGCAGTGTAGTTCAGTCTGTGTGGACAGATACAGCGTGTTCAAAGGAGAGCAAAGGGAAGAATTTTGTATTAGGACCTGTGAGCAAGTAGGTGCCAAGTTATACTTGTGTGCTAAGTTGCTTCAGTCGTGTCCAACTCTGCAACGCTATGGACTATAGCCCACCAGGCCCCTCTGTCCATGGGATTCTCCAGGAAAGAATACTGGAATGGTGGAGTGGGTTCCCATGCCCTCCTCCAGGGGATCTTCCTGACCCAAGGATCAAATTCACGTCTGATGCATCTCTTGCATCGGCTGATGGATTCTTTACCACTAGTACCACCTGGGAAGCTTGCCAAGTTATACTTGCACAGCATAATTAGGCAAATATTGACCAGGCTTTATACACTCCTTCCACTAGAATTAACTGGAATTAACTAGTAAATGTCTCATGTTGCCTTTTCTATTTCCTTTTCCTAATCGTTGGTTCCAGGCTGTAGCTCTGGGTCCTTTTCAGTGCTTGGCACCTTCTCTTTATACACTCTGTAAACCCCTTGAATTGCATCTGGCTTTGAATGTCTATTACCAGTACCATGTATTTCTGGTTTCAGTCTTCCTGCACTCTACATTGCTCCAAGTGTAGCATGAACATCTTCCTTGCATTCAGTCTGGATGACCTTATTTCAGTGGGCTAAGAAAGTGCTACAGTGTTCCAATGCATATTGATACACTGAGACTGGCTCTATCTTCAGAACTAGTACTTTAGAAGTAAATGA